TTAAGTAAATATTCTACTTTCAGTTTCCAACTTAAATTCTCATATTTTAAGGCCATTAGATATTGCTTGTGAGAGGAGCAACGTTATGGAAATTAATTTGCCATTAGTAAGGGGTTGTTTACTTAAATGTTTACCCGATAAGTGCTTACGGTTAGTAGTCAACACTATAATTTATTTTATTGAGTAAGGTTGTAATACATCAAAACGTATTCCATGCAACAAATTTCTTGGTAAGCGCTTACCCGGGTAAGAGTCGTCACCCTCACTTACCGGGTAAGACTCTCTATTTTTATCCTCGTTCTTACCGGGTAAAATTCTTGGTTCTTGCCATATTCATCCGGTGAGGAAAATTATCCGATAAATACTTACCGGATAAGATTCTATGTTCTTGCCATATTTATCCGGTAAAAAAAATTATCCGATAAGTACTTACCAAGTAAACGGCCCCTAACTCATTTGGTGCCTTAAGCCACGACAATCATTCCATACCTCAGTCTCTCGACTTTAAACACAAACACACATAACAATGTTAATTTTGAGCTTAATACAAATTAGTCCCTGAAACAATCTTTCCATGAATGTCAATTCTTGCCCTTAGACTTTGTTTATTTAAAATATTGGACATAACTTGGAGTGTTACAATAATGTTATATTATAGCATATAAGTTATCTTTCAATTTTGGGTTTATTGTGTTATGCGATGATCTAGTAGAATCGTATCCCTAGGGAAAAAAATTCAAATTACGGCACCGTTTGACTATAAGAAACAAATATACAAATTTTATTTTCAAATGGTGGCATCATTTGACCAAGAAAATGACACTAACAGGAATCGAACTTGCGTCTGAGTGGAATAAAAGTCTTGCAAACTATCTCTACCAAATAAAACTTGTTCTCATTGTAGTTTCAAAATACATACGGTGACACACTACAAATTAATACGGTTGCACCTTTCACGAACCTAAATTTTTTTACCCTTCGACAAAGGAATAATACGGTGGCACGTGTCACCATATGCACCACTACAGATCCATCCATGCTTTATGCAAAACCATGGTAAATATACATGCATCATCTTTCAAGAAATTTGAGCAAAGATGGCCAAACATCAAACGGAATCAACCCTCGAGGTTGTGTTAGTTGTACAATGCTTGAACCAGGTAAAAGAATCATTTTGGGTTGTATGGATCCAAGCAGATGACAAGGCCTTGCATGCTTTCATAGATGAGGCAATGGATATTGTTGGTTGCATAGATATAGAAGGTCATATACAGCAGGCTGTGTTGACGGGTCGCATAAGTAACTTTTCTCAATCCCTTTCGGAACCCACGATCCACTATTTAATCTTCTTTTACCAAAACGGTAAAAACAAAACTTACACAAAACCATTTACGACACTTACCAAAATTATCATCATGAACTCACAAGACCTTAAAATGGTTTCAGTATCACGATTGGAATCATCATATACATCTAACGTTAGAGAAAACGTTTCAAACTGGCGTCGCAGAAAGCCACAACATCTTATCACGTTTTAATAAATAAACGCAGGCATATAATCAAACAACTTTGTTATTTAAGTTTCTTATGTTTAAAACGTATGATGCGTATGATTTAAGATTCGCGACCTAGAAATAAAGCGTGACAAATTCAATTCAACAGATCTATAACCTATCCCGATATTTACGAAATCGCCGAATTGTTCATATACTAACAAAACTTGAAAACCATATAAACAAACAACCCATCATTGTCATGAACTTGTGACATCAAACTCCAACTTTCTTAAAAAATGAAACATGTACAAAATTAACATAAAACTATTTCAAAGTTTTGTACCAATAAAGGCAAAGAGGGTACATTTGTTATTATTTTTATTTTAAAATCAATTTATATTTCCTATTTAATATTAAAAACAAATTAAATATTTTTATATCATGTTTTTTCTTTCAAAGGAAATTTAACCAACCTTTGAAATATGGTTTATTGCATGTTTTATATCAATTCATAATTTAAATATATAATAACTTATTTTGTCATTTTAGAAAAATAGTGATATAGAGTCGGTTTACCAAATGCTTAACTGGGTAAGCACTTACTAGGTCACAATATCTTATTGGATGACTATGACAAATACCAAGAATCTTACTTGGTAAGAGCAAAAGCAAGGACCGAGAGTCTTACCTGGTAAGTGAAGGTGACGGCTCTTACTCGGTTAACGCTTACCGGAGAGATTTTTACATACAATGTCGTTTTGATGAACTAAAGTCTTGTTAGGTAATGTAAGTGATAGTGTTGAATTTTACCAATAAGTACTTACCAAATAAGTGTTTAGGTAAATGATCCCATAGTTTAATGACACAAGTTTTACCTTAAAATAAAGTAAATTAAATATGTAATTCTCAAGAATATTTTTAACAATTTTTTACATAACGTTTTATAAAATAAAGAAGTAACAGTCGAATTCTTTATAAAAAAAATTACATTCAACTCCAATCATTTATTTATTTTGAAAAATCTTTGCATTAATTATACTATTAAAATATTTAACGTATTTAATAACCCAAGAATTTTTTTTGTAAATCTTTTCTAGAACAAATAGAAAATAATTAAAGGGTTATTTTTTTTACCTCTTAATAGTTCCATTACGAAACAGTCTTTGAATCGTTAAAAAGTGAATCTTGTTTGGCAAAAAAAATATGTCTTTTAATTGTTCTAAAACCCTCTGAATGATTTTGTATCATGAGTCTCTCTTAATCATTTATCGTCCAAATATCATTATAAACAATTACCAAACAATTATATTTCATTTTGCATTATATCATGAGACTTCTTAATTATTCTGACCATTTAATCATTTAACAACTGTCAAATAGTTCCTGACACATCTTCTTTTCAAATATTAATTTTATTTTTCTCAAATACAAACAATTTTTTTCTCTATATTTTTTCTTCATTTTAAGAATCTTTTTCTGATTCGTATAACAAGTTTTAAGTTTTTTAATTTTATATATTCTATGGATTATATTTTATAATAAAGATTGATTTAATGTTTTTTATTTTGTGCATTTAAGATTTGTAGTATGCATGCTCTGATTATTATTATTATTTTATTAAATTTAAAATGTAATATTTATATAAAGCAACATTATATTATAATATAAATTAAATAATCAAAAGTGATAATTGTTTCGTGGGAAGAAATAATACTCTGATTATAAGTCGTTTTATTATTATTTTTATATATTCAAAATGTATTGATATTTTAAAGATATTTTTCTCTTTTATATACTACTTGAAATAAAGAAATCTTCAATCAAAATCAACATTTTAATATATTAATTCTAAAAATTAGTGAATTTGGTTTTTAAAGTCAACAAATTAAATATGACGTCATTTTTGTTGGTTTTTGATGAATTGAAATTATTTGTTGGAGACGTGAAAAAGGTGAAATTGTGTTGGTCCTTTTAGACTTCGGTGGAAAATGTAGCAAACAAAGGTCATAACAAGTCCTTGTACTTTTAAATAATGGTAGTAATAGTCCCTCCCCTTTTCTTTTGCACTTTTTTTTATTAACCTGGATATTCAACCCGCTATGCGAGCCAACTAATCTCAGGACGACCACCTGCTTTGCAGATAGCCCGGAGTCACTGCATTTGAACCTTCGTGGCCACAAGAGGATTTTTGTTTTTTTTTGGATTTGAACTTGAGACCTCCAGGCACTTTTGACCTTTAGAGTCAAGCTCAAAACAATTAGGCATCACCCTTGTGGTTTGTTTTGCACTTTATGTTTTATAAACTCTTAAATATATCAGGATCCATATGTATTGCTATTTCTTTAATAACAAATAAGCTCACACATCATAATGTTTAAAATAACCTAAATTTATAGCCTAAAAGTTTAGAGTCTTAGTTGATAGCATCAAGGAAAATGGTTTTTAGCTGGACATTGGATGATACAATCATTTATTAGTGTCATTTAATCTGTTGATATTGTTGTGGATTTGAGTCTAACCCTGATATTGTTGTGGATTTGAGTCTAACCCTTAATGGGGTGTGAATCACTAAATGTGGATTGTTACTGTTGTTTACTAATTTACTGTTGTTATGTAGTTCAATCATGTTGCACTTGCATGCTTTCTAGTTTTAAGCTTTGATCTTTTATCGGTTAGAAAGATCAATGATCAAGAAAACCCTAACATAAGCATAAGAAATACAGATACGTGCATATGAACATATCTTTCTACAAGTGACTTTCCATCATGCATATGAAATTATCTCGACTACAACCATCGTCTTACCATGCTATCATTCATCACTACATCGCTCATGGAACAAGAGTTCCTTGTAGTTAGATATCGGTTAGCATATATAAATGGAACCAGAACACAAACTATGACTAAAACCTGCAAGTTGACAAAATACAGTATCAGAAGAAATGATCAAGCACTTTCGATATCTCACTCTCATAGTACACTAGGTTGTATTCTATGTTACTGGTAGTAAATCAACAAAGATATTAATTTCATCGTCGCATAATCATAAACTAATTACAAAACCAATAAATGACTTCATCTTCAAAAACCTATCACCATTTCTATGGCGAAGGAAGTTAGCGTAGTCTTTACCGGGAAACCCCAAATGAAAAAGAAACGGAAAACTAACAACAAAAAGACGAACTCCAAGCTGAAAGAACGACTTTCTGGAACCTAAAAAGGGAAATTAAACAGTTAAAAGAAGAACTTTGAGTTAAAAGAAAATTTCCCGGACCAAAAAACGACAATTTAGCCATGAAAATATGATCTTTAAGTTAAAAGAAAGTCTTTTCCGAACTAAAAGACGAAAACTGAATGAACAAAAACAAGAACTTTGAATGGAGAGAAAGGGCCATTGTTGTCAATCTTTGAAGATAGTAGCAGCGAAAAGAAAGGTGAAAGAGAGTGGCGAAGTTTATATATGTGTATATACTTGAAGTATATTGGGAGTAAAATTGAGCACAGTTTCTCTCAGGGTTCCTTGCAAATCTGTTTTGCAAACAAACAAACCCCCATTTAAAACTCTCTCTCTCCCTCTTTCTCTCTCTATTCTCTCTCATGATCAACCATGTATATACTTCGTCACAAGGTATGCAGAAAATACTAATTTTTTCAGTCAATCCCTGCAAAAAAACCCCTTTGATTTCTTGCATCTTCGTATTCTGTCGGACTTTTGGTTTAGGGCTTCTGATCGCCATTCGAGAATGCAGGTACATTAAACTTTTACTCCTGTGTTGAACCTAGTGTTTCTGATTTCAGTCTAGTTAGATTTCGATGCGGAAGAATTCCCAGTTGAGAAAGTTTTGATTTTGGAAACTTAAATTGCCGTATTTTTGGGTTGTTTGAAATGGGAATTTTTTTTGGGTATAAGAACTTCTGTTTGATGCAGCATCTCCGATCTCTTATATTGAACAGTTGCAAAATTTTGGGGTCAATGTTTTTGATTTGGATCCATAACATATCACTCATAGGATTTAACTTTGTGAACATGATCATCTTCCAGGGTTAGGGAATTCTGATTTCAATGTTACTTGTTTTTGCTGCAAGTTGGATCCTGACATGAAGTTGAATTTTGCCTTAATAGATGAGGATTTTTCTTATTTCAAGCCAATAATGACAAATTTCTAATCTTAATTTTCCCTTTTTAGGTTCAGATTCGTTAATCAGCTAATTTTTCTTAGCTTCTCATGTATAATCTCTATCTAATCGTGTGATTTTGGTCTTCTGTTTTTATATGAATCTGATGTATGAATTGAACTTGAATCCCATGAGTGTACTACTACTAGTAAGCCATGATTTTGGTGTAAGAAATGGTGCACGAATTGATCATCAATTGTGTGGTACAACTGGTTGATGCATTTCGTGCACCATTTCGCTGGTCCTAGAATCTGGCTCCATGGATTTTCTTCATTGATATAGTACAAATAAATGCAGCAATAAATTCTCTTTTCTTTTGAGGTAACTATGGTAATATTTCTTTTACTGTTAATAGTTATGTACTTAAAGTTGTTGTCTTGACCTTTCGTTCTATACCCAATTTCGTGTTAAATAGAAATCTTGAATTGGATTCTGTAGTTCATTTTCTTGGAGGATTTTGACTAAATTCATTATGTTTTATTGCTTTGTAGGTTTTGAGTATGCCTAGGATCTGTGTGCTTTAGGCTGAATATTACGAAAGGATCCTTTGTTCACACATCCCATTTGCTGATTTACTCTAAATCTTGACCTATGAGTTCACGGTTTCCATCTCATCAACTGAACAATGGTTTGTACGTATCTGGTCGGCCAGAGCAGCCGAAAGAAAGGGCTCCAACTATGTCCTCCACTGCAGTGCCGTACACTGGCGGTGACATTAAAAAATCGGGCGAATTAGGAAAAATGTTTGATGTGGATCATGCTAGCTCCAGACCAAGAAAATCTGGACCTATAGCTAACGCGCCTCTAAGAACAGGGTCTTTTGGTGGTGCGAGTTCTCATACGAATCAAGCATCATCAAATTCCGCCAATAGAATGGGCTCTTCTGGTGGGGGTGTTCCTGGTTCAACTTCAATGAAGAAAACTAGTTCTGGTCCTTTGAATAAACATGGTGAACCCATAAGGAAGTCCTCTGGGCCTCAAGGTGGAGGGATGCCTACTTCTCGACACAACTCTGGACCTCTCCCTCCGGTTCTCCCAACCACAGGTCTCATCACATCTGGACCCCTTAATTCATCTGGTGCACCTCGGAAGGCATCAGGTCCAGCCGACTCTGCAGGGTCTGCCAAATCACGAAGCGCGATGGCTAAGAACCAGGCAATTACTCGTCTTAGCCAGGAGGATGGACGCTCTTTCTCCAGGTTGCCAGTACTGTCTTTTTTTGGTCCATTATTCTGCTATCCGTGATGGGTTTATTTGCTACAACTTTTATAGTTTTGGCTGTTAGCAGTCCTGTTTAATCTCATTGCTGTTATTGTGTTGCCAGTTCGGCCTCTGCTTGGAGTGCATGTTGGGGAGCAAAATCTGCGATTAGTTTTATCGATGGGTATCCAGATGCCGAGCTTAGAACGGCAAAGAATGGACAGTTCGTCAAGGTGTCTGGGGTATGTTGCACATTTATTCACATATGTTTATGCATATTCTATATAAATGCAAAACTTTATATTTATTCTTAGTTCTGTAACTTGCACATTTTATGCTCCAAATAGCTTACAGCTCATCTTATATGGTTTAGTTTATGAACTTCTGATGGTTTCCTTTTGGAGCATGCAATGTTAATGACAATGGAGCAAATTATTTATATGGTGCAAGAAGTTGAATCTTTGGGCTTTCTCACGTCTTAAGAAGTTTTAAATAGCGGCACAAGAGCTTTGATTAAGGCATATACTTTTAGATTTTTAGTCATGATTTCTAGTTTCAGAAAATTTGTGAATTTTCACATCTTTCTAAATAAACAAGATCAAAATTTTCCTCTCGTGTCCCCTTGCAATCATGGTCAAGAATCACCATCAAAGAATCCGATATGGGGATTTGGCAAGGGAGATATGGTCCTCGGACAACCTTGTTTGGGAACTTGAGAAATATATGTGTGTATATATTTTCATGTAGGTAATAATCTATGCAGAAATGAACATATTAGCTTCGATTAAGCTTTAAATCGTTTCATGTGATATTCAATGTTGACGTTCCATATGTTTATATCGATGCTTCTACTGCTCATGAAAACCTTGATTTCTTGAAGGTGGTTACTTGTGGAAACGTTCCTCTGGAGTCATCATTCCAAAGGGTCCCCAGATGCGTTTATACATCCACAAGTTTATATGAATATCGAGGATGGGGTTCAAAACCTGCCAACCCTACACATCGTCGCTTTACCTGGGGTCTGCGATCCATGGAGGTGAGAGAAGTGACTAATATCTATATGCTAATTTGCTCTACAAAATATTCAGGTTTCGAGCCCTTTTTAGTAAAAATAAGAAACTGATTTTATAGCATGCGACGTTATATTTTATTTTCGGGTGACTTAAGCTTTGCAGCAGCCTCGTTGCCAAACTGATAGTCATGTCCATTTGCAATTTAAACCGCTGTTTTACTATCAATTATACAGCTTGTAGGCTCACTTGACACAAGTCTATATTTTAGCTTTGCATGTGGATTTTGCTTTACATAAAGCAAATATTCTCCTATGGATACAATAATACTTGCTACATTCCAAAAAGGAGACATATTGACTTCTCATCATCATAAAGATTACTTCATTGATTCATGGGTATGAAGATTCCAAACTTTTTGTAAAGAAATAGGTGACCACATTGAACTTTACAGGAAATGATAGAAAATCCTGCCCTCCAGCCTGTGAAAATTACATTGGCTGATTTGGAACATGATATAAGGAAATTCTTTGGTTACTTGTCGAATATCTAATAAAGATAAATTGAGATGGCATTGATTTCTCTTTCTGACGATCGTAGTCAGACAGGCGGTGTTTCTATATATAGCACAAATCTCGTCTTTCCTATTCTTGTGATGCTTTTTTCTTCTTTCCATTTTCTATACATTTTCTGAGCATAAGAAAGAAAGATTATAGCTGTTGCTTAATGTTATACAGAGGCATGTGGTGGATTTCTATATATCTGACTTCCAATCTGGGTTGAGGGCATTAGTCAAGACTGGTTATGGTGCCCGGGTGACTCCATATGTTGATGAATCTGTTGTTATAGAAGTTGATCAGTCGAACAAAGATTCGTCTCCACAATTCATAAGATGGTTGGATGACAGAAATATCCCAAGCGAAGATCGCGTGATGCGCCTCAAAGAAGGGTATATAAAATCTTCAACTCCTTAAATATATATTCCTTTCCTTGAAGTTATTGCAACGCTACTTTTCCTATAGTTAAATGTCATAAATACCCTTCATAATTTCAAGCTTGCTTACGCCAAGTATGGCAACCGTAAGCTAGCTTATTGAAAAAGCATTGATTATAAACTAGCTTTTTGAAAAGCTACTTCAACCATCAGCTTCCAGATTTCTTTTTCCACTTCTTTTCTCGAATTAATTTTTTCGACATATCCATTTAGATCATTTTACCTCGTCTCACTGTCTCACAAACTACTTTATCAGCAAATATCAATTACTTGTTTTGATTGTGCATAGGTACATTAAAGAAGGCAGCACGGTGAGCGTGATGGGAGTCGTCCAGAGAAACGAAAATGTGCTGATGATTGTTCCGCCATCTGGGCTGGTCCCAACTGGATGTCAGTGGGGCAGATGTCTCCTTCCGGTGAACATGGAGGGCATCGTTTTGAGATGTGAAGACTCATCGAAGCTCGATGTCATACCTGTTTAGTAAAATCTGGAGATATCTCAACTATTTTAAAACAGTTGTATAGTCTGTTTGCTCTTGTTTTCATTACAGCAACTAGTTATGGCGGTATTTGGATCTCAATGCTGTTGTGTGATAATCGAGTTAAAAAGGGTAACTTTTGAGACTTCAATTTTTTTTACTATTTTACTGAATGTTTAGAGAATTTGAGTATTGTTGTTTATACTTTGGAAAACAGAGAAGGTATAATTATACTATTTCTTGGATTTGTTTGTCCAAATACTACTGTTTCTTTCTTGTTAGCATTCTTGTGTGGACCATTGGGGTGATATGTAGGCTGAGCCCGAATGGGCTGAGCCAATTGGGGTTATACGTGAGCCGAGCCTGAATGGGCTGAGCCATTGAGACTATGTATGTGAGCGGAGCCTGAATGGGCTGAACTTAATCATGAGCACAATTTTATGCTGTGATTTGGTCTACATCTATTCATGATTGGGATGATATTAATTCGTCAAGGAACTTTACTTTTCCTGAATAGAGTAGTAGGTTTGTTTCGGTTCGGTTCAAGAAAATATCCGACTCGAGTTTGAATAATTTTTTTAAAATAGTCGAGTTCTATTTCTATTTTTTTGATGTTCAATCTCGATGCTTTTTTTTCAACAATTTTGAGTTACACCAACGTAAAATGCAAGTTTTACAAGGCTCGTTTGTGGACGCTTAAATACAAGATCGATTAACTTGTTTATTGTTTAGTGTTTGTAGCAATTTGTATATTTGATTACATGATTTATGAACATGTTCGGTTCGAAAAGCATGTTTTGTATGGCTCAAATTGAATGTTCAAACTAGCGAGCTAGATATTGGTGTTTTGGCTCTATTTTGTCATCGCAATTGACTTAAACTTGAATTCGTTAAATGTTGTTTTCAACTTGGAGCTTAGTTGATAAAAGAATAAGACGAATGTCAAAAAAAATGCATAAAATGCTTAAATCGTTGATAATTAATAATGAGAAAAAACCATGCATCAAGGATGCCCAATGCATATTTCTTAAGTTATTGTTCATTAAGGTAATACATGTTATAAAAAAGATAATTAATTACTAGAAACTATTTTTTGTACTTTGTTTGTTTCTTATATAAGTTTTTGTATTTTGTTTTAATAAATTTATTTTTCACATGAGCAGATAAATTTATATATTATCTATGAATAAATATAAT